AATTTTCAATAAATTTATCAGTTTCATTCGGAATCCCAATGGAACAACGACCGATTTCATAACAGATCCATCGCTTGAAGGTTTCTTGGTAAATTCAAATTTTAACATTTTGAAATTTTTTTTTGCACATTCCGGTTAACATTATTGTACAGTTTGCAGTTGTATGCAAGTGAATATTACCCTTCCTCGTTTGGAAATTGCTCAAAATATCATCACTTTATCATAATTTTCTTATTTATATCACTTACTTTTATTCATACATCTTTGCTAACCTTACGAGTTAAGACAGTATAGACTGAAATGTTTTTGAGTGTTTTTCATATTGTCTCTAAAATTTTTTTTGAATGATTTTATATGTAAATATTTACATCATAATATTCGTATTGTAAAATCGATGTTTGAGTTCATTCTTTTTTGTTTCTTTATAAAAAAAAAGTAATGGATTAGAGGTTGTTCTTGAGTTTTATCTTTGCCAGTAACCAAAAATTATTCAATAATACACAAGTTTTTATAATATCTTCTCAAGGAATACCTCGGACATCTCATTCGCTTTTTAAAAAAATCACTCAGTTTTGAATATTCTTTTACGTTTTCCATTCATTTACACTATTTAAATCTTTGTAGATGTGTTATGAAATTGAATGTGTTTGGCAATGAGAAATTTTTATTAAATTTTGAGGAATGTAGTAAATAATAATGATAGTAACGATCATAGTGATAATAATAATAAAAGCAATCACAGTAAGAATGACGGCAGTGATGGTTGTAGTTATAACGTCGTTAATAATAACATTCGAAACGATGACAATAAATTGAATTGAATGAATTTCAAAGAAATCAACATTTTTGAATGAGAATTGCACATGCTTCCCCACCACCGTTGCATATAGCCGCAACACCGAGTTCATCCCGTTGTAGCGAATAAATTAACGATACAACAATACGTGCGCCTGACGCTCTAAAAATTCGTTTCTTTCGGTGCTTCGTGCTATTCGAATATTTCAGTTCTGAGAAATATTCCGTGCAGATGAAATGAAATCAAAAAATAAATTTTAAATGATAACTGCGTGATAATTTGTGCACAATCGTTCAACAAAACAATCGAAAATATTGGTGAGTGGTCAGAAAAATGATTGAAAATTTTTGAGAGAGTGATTCAAAACCAATAGTTGATGAAGATTGTCCACTTAACAATTTTTAATTCGAGAAAAAGAATGTTTTTCTCACATTAAAAAAAAAGAGAAACCACTGACCCTAAGGGGTGTCCAAGAGCCACAGCGCCACCTTTAACGTTCACTTGTTTTGGATCGAGTTGTAGCTCTTCGATGAATGCTAGCGCAGTGACGGCAAAAGCTTCGTTAATTTCCCATTGTTTTATGGAATCTTTTCGCACTCCGGATTTTTTCAGTAACTGAAATTTGGATTTTTATGACACTTCTTAAAATATTGACCATTGTTTGTGCGTGCTTCTTAATCAATGACCGATTGATTTTTCCATTTCGCGAAGAAATTCAATCCTATTCTTTACAACATTTATTCTGCCCAAAGAATTCTTTCCGAAATCGAAATGTTTTTCATGACATCTTCAAAAACGCATCCTGCATCCACATCTCAAATAACGCAACCGAATGCAAACCTCATGAACGGCTAGTGAGGGTGCTTTTGTGAAATCCACCGGATCGAGACCAGCTTCGGCATAAGCGATAATTTTAGCGATTGGTTTCAAATTTTTCGATTTGACCAAATCCTCTCCCACCAGCAAACATGCCGATGCTCCATCGTTTATTGAGCTAGCATTTGCGGCCGTTATTGTACCTGTACCATCCTTTTGAAAGACCGGCTTCAAGGCTGGCACCTGAAAGCTCGAGTCTTGAGTTTCTTGAGACGTAAATTTTATTCGTATCCTGATTGTTGTTCCTAATCAAAGAGTCAGCCAGTCCTCATCGACAACCATATACTCACAAAAACATTTTATGAAACTTAATTAATTGAAATTGAAACAAAATTATGCTTTCATAATAAATTGCAAAATTATTATGTTAAAATTGCCCTTCATAACGTATTACTGGAATAATGTCTGATTCTAGCACTAGTACTGAACAACTCTCTGAATTATTTCAGAATTCATTTTATGAGAACGATTCATTTTCCAGTGATCACCTTTGACGCAATAAGCCGTTTGAATTCTTCGTCTCTGCTGAGCACGACTGATTGTGCACCTCGTTTTTGGGGTACTGAGACTGCCACTACTTCGGCGTTGAAGAGACCCTCCTTGAAAATGAGAAAATTACATCAAATACTACTTCATATAGAAAAATTTTCGGTAATCATATTATATTGTACAAACTGTCGGTTTTATTTAGAAAAATTCTGAGCAATAATACGAATAAACGTAACAGTAATGATAAAAATGATAGCAAAACAGCAACTCACTTGCCATGCTCGATCAGCCCTTTGGTAACTTTCAATAGCATACGTATCAAGTTGTTCCCTTGTGAAGCCGTATTCTTTGACAGTCTTTTCGGCGCATAAACCCATCGCCTCATTCTCCAGTGAGTCCGTGAGACCATCCTTTTGAACACCATCCTTCAAAGTGAGATTTCCGATGACTTTATTCGAGAAACAATTCACAGAGAATTTTTCTATGCAATTGAAAATAATTGGTTACAATGATGAAGAAACACTCACTGTGAGCTGTATGCCACCATATGGAATCTCTCCCCGGGGTATATAAAATGGAACATTGCTCATACTTTCCGTACCAGTGGCCATTACTACTTGACGTTGACCCAACTGAATCTGTTGTGCACCCAGCATAATTGCTTTCATACTTGACGAGCACACTTTATTTATTGTGAGACATTGAGCACTTTTTGGAATACCTGCAAAATTAATGTCAAACTGGATGATTCCAGTGATTTATTGTATGATTTCGGTAATTTTGCGGTTATTTGAAGATTACTTCAACTCTTCTTGATACTATTATTACTTATGATCACATGTAAACAAAACAATAAGAGCGAATAAAATTTAATGTTTGGACTGACTGACCTGATAAGATTGAAATTTGCCTAGCGATATTTTGCCCTAAACCTGCACTCAAAACATTTCCTACGATTGTTTCGTCGATATCAGAGGGTTTCAACGCTGGAAAGAAGAAATTAAAAAATTGCTATTGTTCCAATGATGTATAGAGTTGTGATGAGTTGAAATATGAACACATCATAAATATCAAGAGTAATTAATAGAAATGTTCTGATCCGATCTCATTTTATCCGGTTTTGTTTGTTTTCTTCATATTCATTTCGACTGTATATTAGAGGTTCGATTCTTAGTTATTATTGTTCCATCAATTGACTGTTTCCATCATATGGATCGTCGGAAACTGTTTTTCGCAAATTACATTCCGTGTTTGTTTGTTTGTATAGTTAAAATTACATTTGTATATGATGTTAAAATTTGATGAGAATAAAATTTATAGTGTTTTAAAATGCACCAATAAACAATATGACAGTAATAACAATTGTTCTCTTCTTATAAGTGTTGTTTTATTTGGGAGAGATTTTTGAATCGAGATTATGAGGTAACTGACATGATCTTGCAATCGCTTCTTTGGTTACAACAACACCCAAGTCGACGGCTGATAACGGCGTTAAAGTCGAACGAAATGAAGCGATCGGTGTTCGAACAGCAGACACAATATATACTTCCTTTAAAAATGGTTCATTTTTGTTTAATCATACATTATCATTCTTTGAAATTTTCACTAATTTTCGTTATGTAATAGAGGAAATGTGCAACAAATGTTCAAAAGATTCTGCTTGAAATCGAATTTTGTTGAAAAGTAACCTTTAACTGGATAGTGTTCATTCTTTTGAATTGAAAATAAGATGATACAAATTCAACAATTCCAACAAATTGATGAGTTCTGATGAAGTGAATTGAGAAATATCGTCAAGTCTGGTCACTGAATCGAGAGATTCTAACTGGAATGCACATATGAATTACGAAAATTTATTCTGGTTTATGGAATTACACTAATTAATCGATATGTGCAAAAAAAGCGCTGTTTCCATGC